TTTGAACCTCTGCGTACGGCCGTCTATCCATGTTTTTGTACCTGATAGCATTTATCGTTTCAGCCGCTCGCCAAAAGTCTCTCATTCTTTTTGCATTTCGAGAATAAGTCCTAAATGGGTTTATTGATAAGTCCGGTAAATGTCTGTGCTGTATTTGCTGATGCCAAAAAACTGTTGCCTCAGTAGCTGCCTCCTCTAAGCTTGTATTCATTGCTGACTGACATCGGAATTCGCTGGCTTGTTTCGGAGAACATACGGCTGTTGTCGGGGTCGTGTGTTCAACATCCCGTTTTTTTGCATTTGTGGCAGGACGGCTTGTAAGAATTAGGGGTACCGCAACCGTAACAGAATATTTTCCGTCTTTCCTCACAATCGTTGTACCGGTGCCCTTCCTTTCTACAATTCCAGCATACCAATGCTAGAGCATCTACCTCTGCTACCTGCTCAACGTCCGAGAATTCAGCTGCATCATCCGACAGATACTCCTGCACAAGTTCAGATACTTGCTTCCGAAAAGGAACAGGTTTCTGATACCCATAAGTACGCTTCACATCTTCAAGGAAGCCTTCCCTACGCCGGCAGATATCTCGAAGCTTTTGGATTGAGTCTATGCTCACGTTCAACAGCTCGTGCCTTATTTCCGGCCGCAAGTTCCGGCGAAGAGTTTCTACCAGATCTTTCTCTGGAATGGGAACTGTTAGGCAGTCTGTGATCTGTACCACAGCATCGTAAAAAGAGTCAAAACTTTCCCTCTCTCTCTGCTTTCTGTCACGAATTGTCTCTCTCAGATCCAGATCCGTACGCGTATCTCGAAACTGCTTTTGTAAAGCCTCGGTAAGCAAATCCCACCTGGAAGTATCGGATTCTTTATGAAACCGCCAATAAAACTCTCGCGCTTGTCCCTCGAACAGTACGCTGGCATTTCCGCAAATTAAATCAAAACGCGAGTTGAGGGTTTGTCGAGTTAGCGCCTCCACTCGATACAAAAATTTATCTACGCTCAATCCGTCTGGAGACCCGTTGAATCGCAGCTTCCAACTGCTAATAATTTGTCCAACCTTATCCGGACGACTACCTAAATCGGAGCTAGAAAAAGCTGACGTGGGCCTGTCTGGGATTTCAATATCCCCTGTTACTGATTGAGTTCCGAAGTTATGGACAGATTCGCTTGACCTCGGCGGCTCCTGCATCTGCGCCGCGAAATTTGCCTGAATTATTTGGCCCATCTGTTCCGTAAGCTTGGTTAGCAAATTATGCTGCACTGCCTTTAGTTGTTGCGCTACAATGTCGATGATCGCTTCAGCATCAACGCTGCTCATCGCTTGCTTTTTCGGAGCTGGGGTCTTCGCCTTGGCGGAATTTCCCTTGGCATCGCAACCAGGACAACTGCCCTGCTTCTTGACCAACGCGTCTGCGCATTCCTTGTGGAATATATGCCCACAACTCCCACGGCTTACTTGATCTGGTGACAAAGCCTTTCCGCAGAGCATGCATTTTGTGGATCCCGAAGCCTCTGAATCCATGGCTATCTTTTAAATAAAAACAAAGCGGAGTAATAAATTCAGGACGACTACTAGTCAAAACGAACCGGATTCAAAATATGCCTAATAGAAATTCCTAAGATCCTCTATCCCTATATAATAATTAAAAACAAGCTAGAAATTAATCTAAAATTAATAAAGAAAAAATTGAACATACATAAATAATGAAGAATTTATCCAAGTTCCGAACCTCAAGATCGCTATGGAATCTATATAGATCGAAGCCTCACTTCCAATCCCTTCATTAAATGTAATTAATAGATATCGTAATATTAATAATATTTAAGGATACAATAATAACACCTGAAATATAGAAAAATGTAAGCACAAGCACTCAAAATTTTGTTCCGCAACGAAAAATCAAACCAATTATCAAAAATCGACAATCAGAAATCAATACAAAAAGTCTGGCCAGCAAGCATAGCTTGCAATTAAAATGCACTTATATACAAACAAAAGGTTTCGGTCAGCACAAAAGAGAATCGAGAAAATAAAATTGACGAGCGTTGTTTATCGCTATTTGGCAATAACAACAACACTGCAGAGCGTGTTGCCGTGGTCAGACGAAAGCTTCGCTGTCTGCTATCCGATCGGCCCACGCTTCTACTCTTCCGTCAATGTTCGGTCTTTGCCTTCTGCTATCATCCGTGGCCTGAGTTTCTCTTCTGAAAGATAAACGCTCAGTAAGTCGTATGCGAATAACAACAAAATTAATAAGCCCCTATGAAATTTGTTGTGTCCATTTGCCTATGCCTATCATCCGTGGTCAAGTGCTCGCTTCTGAAAGCAAATGCACCTGCTAGTCCTATGCGTGTGATATGCACCGACTCGGGCTACATGGTGTAGAGTATACACGACTTAGTCTACTTCCTATTCCTCTGTTGTCGTCTGCGGCCGGCTAGATGCTTCAAACCTGAATCATCTTCTTCCGTGTTCCTATGCTTCCGAGCAACTGTGAGTGGAAATTGACATGCCTTCCTACCAGCTGGAGCAACCGTGGCTTGGTGACTACCTGTAAACACAACCTAGTCTTAGCCCACCCCTTGGCTGGACGAAAAGCTTAACAATTATTTGTGTGTGTGTCTGTGTGAGTCACATTGAACATATATGTGGCCTTCACGTTGGCCAATTTTATTAAAATTATGAACTGATAATCAAAAATGATAATCATATATGTATGTGGCCTTAACGTTGGGCGCCAATTTTATTAAAATTATCAAAAGATAAACATATTATTTATAAATGTAACGAATCGCTAGACTCAAAATGAATGTTACAGGCAAGTTGTTAGCTCGAGCTTCGGCTCGTCGGCTACGGGAGTGATGGTCTTGCTCGGATCTCGGATTGCCTTTGAATAATTTTAAACAGAAATGAATGCGTGCTACAACCTTTGACAAGTGCTACCCTACATCACAACGCATGCCAGCTGCGACCTATACTCGACATTTTAAAACATTATAATAATTTTATTTGAAACTAGAAAAATATAAATTCATTACTTAAAATAGAAAACGTATATACACAATTAAACATTAAAACTTAGACTACAAATGATAAATAAATACACGCCCTTCGACTCGATTTCGGGCATAAAGAATAATGGCAAAACAATTTTGGGCAAGTTGAATGAAAATATTATTTACGCTGACCGCAATTTAATATACATGTTGCAATGATAAAGCCAACAATTAGATAAGAAAAAGCATAGTAGCTCTCAGCATAACTAGCCTTAAGCGCAATCGCCTTATGTATCAGCGTTCTTTTCTTTTCTCCTTCCCTCTTCGTTTTCCGCCGTTGGTTCGGTTAAATTTTGGTTTCTTTCTTTTACTTTAACGGCTACTGATTTGGGACATTCTCTTTTATTTTTTCCAATTTATTTCCCTTTTGGTACTTGAAATTATTTAAATTATTACTGATACACTCACCATTTTCTTAACTCCACCGATGCTTCCTCGGAAGCTAGCTGAAAGTTGGGAGGAAATGACATATGCAAAAAAAAAGAAATTCACAACCAAAGGGGACGCCCTAAAAGAGACTACGAAGATAGGGGGGAAACTATCAGAAAATTACGCATTCGGCCCGCGCTATTTAATTTGATTCTTCCACTAATTTCTACAGGAATGCAACGAAATAATATTCCTCTTTGCCGCACCTTGCTCTTTACCTATGTCTAATTTCATTATTCTTTTTTTTTTCTTTGCAATTTTTTCGCAAGTTAACCTAACTTACAATGTATATTTTTTCTTACACTAATTTTCCATATTTTTCTTCATTGACACTGGAACAAAATGGGGCTCGAAAAATTTCCTTTCTTTTTACACTTATTCGTCGCGATGAGGCATGGGGCTCGAATCAAATATACTTTGGCCGGGATCGCATTGCGGCGGCGAGTTCAAAACGCCCGAAAGAATTACATTAAACTAATTGCAATGCTTTGCCGAAGCCTACGCCTACACCGACTCTGGCATAAAAGCTCGTACGACTGCTAACGACTTCTCTTGCTTAGTTGTGCTCTCTAGAGCTGTTCGCAAAGGGGTACAAAGGTCGTCCTACAGTATTCGGCGACTAATCATTCTTTAACCACATAAAATTATATAAAAAAAGAATATTTTTCCCCAGCTCTGGTGAGCGGATCGACGGGGAAGTCCTTCTCCAAAAATTTAGATCCAGGCGCTTAAAAGATCCTAGAAGTTGCGCCGGCGCCGTTTCCTTGCTCTCTCCTCTCCTCTCCTCGGGCCTTCGAGCGGTACAAACTGCAGCCTTTCTATTCGCAGCTCAGTGGCCAATAAGCAAAATTGTATTCTCAGCACTTTGAACACTCGCGAATACTTTTTCGAAATTCTGTCGCCAGTCGCCAAAATATAATAGTCACTACGCCTCAGCAGCCAAAACTGGAATGCTGGAAGATGACGCCGGAAAAGTGGCGGTAACCCAATGTGAAAGTGGGGGAAACGGGGAGACCGTTGACAAATGCATCTGTTGCTCTCTCACCCGATCTTTCGTGCCCTAGCCGACCTACGCTTGCTACACTGGCAAAGCCGCCTTTCGACCTATGATCGACCAACAGATGGCGCTAATAAAAAGTATCTTATACCGAGTGTTCACGTCAAGAGGCCCTTCGCGGCGCCGCCTCTGCCCACCGAGTTCCAAAGTTTGCCGCTCTTGCACTCCCGCAAGTCGGCTCTTGGCGCACTGTTCATCGGGCCAGTCTAAGCGCTCCCGCTCCCACTCTTCGATGTTCGCGAACTCCCGCTCCCGAATTCCCGATCTTCGCTCGCTGCTAAGCGAGCTGAGGGACGGCTAGTTCGCGCTCCACTTCGCGGGCCCGCTCTCGCACTGTTAAGCTTAGCTTATCGGTCGGGAGCGCAGCCCTTACGTTTAAGCTAATTAGTCTTATGTATGCAGCGAAATAAAGCTGACGAAATTTTGAATTGCCCACGACGCCCCCGCCTTACTTACTTTCGCTTGTGACGTGGGAATTTTTCCTTGGACTACATATCTCCAGGATCTTGCGACAGGAAGCCCCCTACACACCGAGCAAGCGCTACAATGCACGATCCACATAATTAACACATTTCAATTTACCACTTTAGACACTTTTATATATTTTATTGTTTTTAATTGAAGTGTTAGGAAACGACTACTTGATATATTGGTTTGTAGTAAATGCTGTATATCAGCGATGGATATCCCGCTTTTCTGTCGAACGGGATAAAAGGTATCCTATGTCCGTCTCCTGGCTCTAAGCTACCTCCCTACCAATTTTCACGCAAATAGGTCAATCCGCAGTGGATGTGTGTCACAGATTACCACAGATTTTGTTGATATCGATATGGTGTCACCGACCGATTACCGATTACAGATGACGTTGACATTCGTTACGCGCGTTTTTTAAAATATGCAAAAGTAAATGTATATTTTTCAATTTTTCTGAGAGATTGTCTAAATATTTGTTTCCATAAGAACCTTGTACAGAGTATTAGAAAACTAAAAAAAAATCAGCCAAATCGGTAAAACCGTTTTCATGTTATGTGGCGACAACGAAAAATGGGTTTCATTTTGATATATATAGATATTCGATAAACATTTAACAAAGTAATATAGCTTTCGTTTAAGATATGACTGAAAATAGTATCTATGCTTTTAACTAGTTGAGGGAGGTGTAGGATATGTACATATGTAGTTTTCAAAAATGCAGCAAAAAGATCGGCGATTGCCGGATCAGAGCTAACTTTATCATTATTAAATTAAAGCGAGGAAGAGTATAGAAGATGATTAGTGTAAACAAAGTCATTAAAGGCTCACTGAACCCTAAAAGGAGTCTAATAAATTTTATTAGATTGAGCTTTAAGATAGGTAAAATTAAATTGAGCGCTAAGATAACAATAAAAAAATTACATCGGCGCCATGTCAGCAAACTTAGTAGTCTGATCAGGCCTGGGAAGAGTTATTCCTACAGGCCGCTTTTTCTTTTTCTTCGCTTCAAACTCCTTAACAACAACGTACTCTGACCAGAAGTTGGTAGAGCAAATTGTGTCAAAGAGCTCGTTAGGGACATTTATTTTGAAAGATGAAATATCCCTAGCGTAAGTATATTTGAACTTTTCCACCTTAATCTTTATTTTATCGGCTATGGTTTTGCTTGTATAAAAGCGAGAACATCTTCCGATGTTTGATAAGGGGAGAGCCGTGAAACAAAAATGTTCCGTCGGCGGAAGCGGTTTAGCAATCTGCCGTGCCATTGTCGGACGGTATTCCGGGCCTAACACCCTGGGCAGATACATCTGACTTCCTTGAATGTTCAACATTTGGGACCCCCCAGGGGACAACAGATACCACCGGCGGTACAGGCACTCGCGGCACATTCCGAATCTTTCCTAGCGCTAGATCTCAGCACTCTTGGAATTAATGATGAGGTCGAGGGCTGTTCCGAGGGATGTTGCTGCTGGGAGCCCGTTGTTACGTTATTACGCCTCGGAGACTCATTTAATAGCGTAAGGCTATTAAATTAAGTGTCCAACGCGAATAACATTTTATGAGTTTTACAAAAACTCGATAAAATGTCCTTAAAACCGCCCTTGCTTTGTCGCATGAAGGACAACATCTCCTTCCTACCTCGCGACAGGCCTCACAACAGTAGCGCAAGCCGATATTAGAGGACGTTATTGTGACTTACCACTGTACTTTATCGTTTGCAGATAAAAAGAGAGAGAGAGAGAGAGAGATGGATAAGAGAAGCAAGATAAGAGGTGCAGCGGCACAGAAAAACTAAAATGTTTAGCTGTCGCGACGGTGCAAACAAAAGCAAAACGAAGAAGGCATAAAAATAAATTCAAAATATGCAAAAGCTAGCACTAGCAGCAAAACTAAATTGGGAAATAAAACCAATTAAATACACAAATCAGAATACCTGCATGCACACCCATAGAAGAGTACACAATATAGAAGATTTAATTTAACCCCGGTGGGTTATCAAATTGAGAACGCAAGAAAAAAACACATCCGTTCACTTGGAGATATGATAGAAAGATATGAATGAATGATATGAGTGGCAGGACGCAAAAAGCTGTATTTAAGAATAATTTATCTAATGTTTTAAATCATATGGTTCCCTTATTGTTTTCAGTATTTATAAATGACTTGCTCAAAGTATTAACTAACTCCAGAGTGCTTATGTACGCTAACGACGTCAAGCTTTGCGTGCAATTCAAGGACGTCGTCTGCCAGTCGGACTTACAAACAGATTTTAATAAATGGCTTTAAATGCATGCTAATGATATTCTCTCGTGTCGTTCCCAAGCTTGCAACCTACACTCTTTACAGCTGCTCTTTGGAAAGAATTAATTCAGTTGATGATTTGGGCATCCGTTGGACCCTAAACTTGAATTTGTCGATAAAACGGACTTTAAACGGCTGAATAATTTTATAAACGAGTTCAATTGGTCCGATCTATACATGTGCACTGACATGGCAGTTGCCGTTGATATTTTTTACAGTGCCATGAATTCATTTTTTACTGAATGTGTTCCGTTATATTATCCGCCAAGCTCGAATAAACCGCCGTGGTTTACTAAAGAGTTGAGCCGACTTAAAAATAAAAAATCTAGACTGTATGCTAAATTTAAAATCACCGGTTCTCAATCTGCCCTTTCATTTTATTTATCAGCTCGGTCAAACTTTACCGTGCTGAACGGTATTTAACTCGTTGTAGGGCCCAGTTCTCACAGGACCCAAAACTGTTTTATAATTTCGTTAACACTAAAAGTAAACCTAAAACAAATCCTTCCTCGCTTTCATTTGAAAATACTACCGCAAATAATGATCAGGCAATAGCCGATCTATTTTCGCAGTTTTTTCAAACAACCTATTCTAGCTCTTCGTATATATACCAGATTTATTCCTACGACATACCCAAATCGAACTTAATTTTCTGTCCTAGCCTAAACGAAAGCTCTCTCCTTTTAGATCTTCATCGTGTCAAGCCAGTTTATTCGTCAGGTCCCGACGGAATTCCTGGCTGTATGCTCAGGTATTGTGCCGACGCCCTGTGCTATCCCCTTCTGAAATTGTTTACCTTGTCCTTAGAAACCTCCCACTTTTCCATTATTTGGAAGGAATCGTTTATTATTCTTCTCTACAAAAAAGGTAGCAAATTGGATGCCAGCAATTATAGAGGAATCTCTAAGTTGTCGGCCATCCCAAAATGATTTGAAAATATTATTACCCCTCATTTACAGCACCTTTGTAGATCGGTTATTTCTCCATGTCAACATGGTTTTATTAAGCGAAGATCAACAACAACAAATCTTTTGGAGCTCTCTTCTTATATTATAAAGGGCTTCCATAATAATTGTCAGATAGATGTAATCTATACTGATTTCAGTAAAGCATTTGACTCTGTTAATCATTCTGATTAATCATTCTTAGAAAACTCGATTCAATGGGTTTTCCAAGTGATCTTCTTTATTGGATCTCTAGTTATTTGAATGGCAGGACGCAAAGGGTCCTCTTTAAGAATAATTTATCCAATATTCTAAGGGTTACATCTGGTGTCCCGCAAGTAAGCCATTTGGGACCCTTATTGTTTACATTGTTCATAAATGACCTGCCCAAAGTCTTGACTAACTCCAGAGTACTTATGTACGCGGATGACGTCAAGCTTTGCGTGCAATACAATGACGTTGCCTGCCAGTCGGATTTACAAACAGATCTTAATAATTTTCAAACTTGGTGCCGTGTAAACTTATTCAACTTAAATGGCTCGAAATGCAAGCTAATGACATTCTCTCGTGTCGCTCCTAAGCTTGCTACTTACACGCTGAACGGCTGCTCTTTGGAAAGAATTAATACAGTTGACGATTTGGGCGTCCGCTTGGACCCAAAACTTGACTTTATTGATCATATTTCGTCTATGGTGAAGAGCCAGGGGTGTGCTTGGATTTATTAAACGGTGGTCGAAGGAATTCAATGACCCCTATGTTACTAAATCCTTATATACTTCCTTAGTTCGTCCTATCCTAGAATATGGATGCTGCGTTTGGAGCCTCAGTACGGCGTCCATAGTAAACGCATTGAGTCGGTTCAAAAGAACTTTTTACTTTTCGCTCTACGCGGTTTAAATTGGGATGCAAACCAAAGATTACCTTCCTACTCTAGTAGACTCCTATTAATAAACTTGCCGTCCTTAGCCAATCGTAGAACGATGCTAGGGATAACCTTTATTTTTAACCTTATCCATGGTGATGTGGAAAGTGCGGACTTGTTGAGTCAGCTTAATTTACATGTACCATGTAGAACCACTAGAACCTATATCCCATTAGTGTTGCGCCACTGTAGGACCTCCTTTGAACTGCATGAACCTTTTAGAGTGTTATGTGCAAATTATAATGATTTGTACACACTAATCTCTAACGTAGATTCCCTTCCCAAATTAAAATCTTTAATACTAACACACTTAGTAAGCATGCAAGCTAACAATCTGGCAGCACGCCGGTAGTCAATTTTCCTCGTATTCTGTCCTATATTTTCCATCGCGCCTACTAACACCTAACCCAAACAGGCACGTGCCTGGTGTCATACGGGCCACTTGTATGTACTGACCTTAGTGCATCAACGTCCAAAAGATATTTCGTTTATGGTGAATAGAGCCAGGGGTCTGCTTGGATTTATTAAACGGTGGTCGAATGAATTCAATGACCCCTATGTTACTTAATCCAACCAAAGATTACCTTCCTATTCTAATATACTCCTTCTGATTAACTTATCTTTTGTAGCCAACCGTAGAACTATGCCAGGCATTACCTTTATGTTTAACCTCAAGTAGAACTACCAGATGCTATATGCCAGGAGTTTTGTGCACTGTAGCACATCCTTTGATTTGCATGAACCTCTTAGGTTCTTAGTGCAAATTATAGTGATTTGTAAACACTTATAACTAACGTATATAGTCTTCCCAAACTAAAAACTTTAATCCCAACCCACTTAGTACATCGATATTTTCTTTCGCGCATGCACCTAATACCTAACGCAAATACGCACGTGCTTGGTTTTATACGGGCCACTTCAGTGTACTGACCTTAGTGCATCATCGTCCATATAAG